AGAGCGAAGAAGAGCTTTGATGACTACTAGTAGGAGAGGACTTCCTTGCAATCACTTTGTCTACACTGTTTCTTGGAAGAGATTCATGCGACACATCTTCATCAAAGAAGAATATGACTCTATACACAGACTTTACAAGTGTGCATTTGTTATACAACCTATTGATTTAGGAGAAAATTACATACAACTTTCTAACATGAAACAGACTCATAAGGTAATTTGGTATGTCCCCACACATTGGATCTAGCTATATGTCTTTGTAAAGTAAAATCAGATAAAGAAGAAAGGAATCTCTCTGGTTTTCCTTCCTTCCAAACTATTTTGGTAAAATGTTAGTGCTCAGAGAAGCCAAAAATCTCCTTAAGTTAAAGGATTTAGGAAACTTGGACAAATTTTCTGCACATGTTTATTTAGAACAGTTGGCCTTTGTTAAGGCTTACATCCTAGGAAGACAACTGCTAATTAGGATCATACCTACCCCAAGAAAGTAGTAGATCCAAAAATGCAGTTTCATACAAACTGGCATGTCAATAGTTCCCCCTATTATAAACAGGCAAATTACCCAATGGGATACTGCTAAATTGCCATTTAATAAGATCCACATTACCGGTGACACACTGCCACCAATACAAATTCCACAAATTATAAATAAATTAAGATACTCAGGTAGAACCTAATCCTACTTTTTCCTTGATCCATGTGTGAACCTCTTATACACATTCCATGGCTTATCTATCTAAACAATTCTAAGATCACTCCTTCCAAAGTGCGCTTGTCTACAAGCGCTCAGTGAGGATAACATACAGCCATGTGAGCAACAGATTCCCACAAGGCATGAGCTGGTGAAAGACCTTCGTGATGAATCAAGACTTCACACAGCCCTGTGCAAAAATCCAAAATGATTCGAGTTGGGACAGGAATCCCCAGGTCAAACAATGGCCAAGTTGCAGCAACAGCTTGCTAAGTGTGAACTTTCTGGAGGCAACAGATGTGGAACACTGGATGGATCTTAGAGGTAGGCAGTACTGCAAATGATAAGCAACTTGATCAATCCTTTCAATGACTGGAAAGAAGCCACAAAAGCAAGAGGGAAGCTTTTTATCGCGTGTCAAACACATTGAAATTTGTCAATAAGTTTGCAAACACAATGAAACTAGAAGTGGAATAAAAAGACATCATGATGGTGGCTACCGATTTTTCATAACATTTTGAGCCTCCAGAGACCCAGTATCTAAAAGTAGCGAAAACCTAATCGCAATCACGAAGATACCTAATCCACACAATAAGTAAGCCAGGTGGTGGACAGCCATAAACAACTCCAAAGAAGAAGTTCCAAGCTAAGCGTGATAATTGGTGCTGTAGAAATACTCAGCCCAAGATACCTAATCCACCTTTTTTTGTTGATCACTAGTGAAACAATGAAGGTAAATTTCTACTGTGCTATTAACCACTTCTCTCTGGCTATCCAATTAAGGATGATAGGCTGAAGTTAAACAAAGTTTAACAGAACCCACCTTGAAAAGTTCCATCCAAAAGAGACTTGTGAAAGTAACATCCTGGTCAGTCACCATTGTCTCTGGTGAGCAATGAAAATAGATGGGCAAGTGATGTAGCCATGTATGGATGAGACAATGGAATGAAATATCCACATCTGAAGAAGCAACCAATGACCATCATTAAACTTGCTTACCCCTTGATGGTGGGAGCCCTTCCACAATCTTAAAAGATGTCATCCCAAATGTGGAAGTGGGACATGAAGTGGTTGTAAAGCCAGTTTAAAGTGTTCCATTTTACAGTGTTGACAAGTGAAACAAGTCTTAACAAACTCAGGAACAGCTGGCCGAACACCTCCAATAACAATCCATTTCAGGTTTTTTGAACTCCTTTCATGAGATTGATTGGGGACAGTGGAGACAATGGCTGGAAGAGGAGAATCATCATTGGATCCTATTTTTGCAAAATAAGACAATCTCAAGCAACCCAATTTCCTGATACTTGACCAGCAATCACCTGAGCATGAAGTTGTTGCAGGGCAGGGGAACTTTGTACTTGACGAAGCACAGCATCAAGCAACCCACCCAGCACAGTATTCTACTATGAAATTGAAGTCCAGTAATTTACTAATCCAATATTGCTGTGAGAAGTGAAGAATTTTTTAGGGGGGAAAAGTAGTATTGGGATAAGAAAAAGAAATTACAATGGCAGAGGCTAACATATCTCCTGGAGCTTCATAGGGAAGGGCTCCAAAACGAAAGTTAATTACGAAGTTACAACCCAACCA